ACTAATTTATGGGGGGGCGCCTGGGTGGCTCAGTTGGTTAAGCGACTGCCTTCGGCTCAGGTCATGATCCCAGGGTCCTGGGATCGAGCCCCGCATCGGGCTCCCTGCTCGGCGGGAAGCCTGCTTCTCCCTCTCCCACTCCCCCTGCTTGTGTTCCCTCTCTCTCTGTCTCTCTCTCTCTCTCTGTCAATTAAATAAATAAAATCTTTAAAAAAAAAAAAACTAATTTATGGGGACGCCTGGGTGGCTCAGTCGGTTGAGCACCTGACTCTTGATTTCAGCTCAGGTCATGATCTCAGGTTTGTGAGATCAAGTCCCATGTCCTCTGCGCTGAGTGTGGAGCCTGCTTAAGATTCTCTCTCTCTCCCCACTTTCTTCCTCCCTCTCCAAAACAAAAAAAAAGGTGGGGGGGGGGCACCTGGGTTGCTCAGTTGGTTAAGGGACTGCCTTCAGCTCAGGTCATGATCCCGGAGTCCTGGGATCGAGTCCCACATCAGGCTCCCAGCTCAGTGGGGAGTCTGCTTCTCCCTGTGACTCTCTCCCCTCTCATGCTGTCTCTCTCTCTCTCTCTCTCTCTCTCTCAAATAAATAAATAAAATCTTTAAAAAAAAGCTAACTTATGACAAACGTAGGTGCTAAGTGCAGAGAAACATCCAAAATATAGAGTAAAATTTGACCTCGGGTATTTAAAATTTTCTGTGAATAAAGAACGATGTCTGATTAGAGAGGACACTAACATAATCCCTGGGTGGTCAGATTATATTTTTTTATCTTTGTATTTAGCTCTATGTTTTAATTTCGCTAGAATGAGTATGTATTACTATCGTAAATAAATATTGGATATTTCAGTGACTGATGTAGTTTATAATCTATGAGCTGATACATAAAAAATTACAAAGATTACCATAACTCAGTTTTTAATTTTTATTCCCTAGAGCATATCATATTACTAAATTATTAGTTAAAGGAAAACAGACCCGGTAGCTGACGCGTTAACCACTGCCATGGTTATGGACATCAAGAGAAAAAGAGGGGGTGGGACTGGAAATAATGACTTTTTGTTAAGCTTTCTTGTACAGCCCCCTCCTGCCTCACACCTGGGTTATGGCAACTATATCCTGTCTTGTGTCTCCACTTCCAAGCTTCTCACTATGGTAGACCCCCTGACCTGCAAGAGCATGTGTCCCAAGACCCCCAGTGGATGCCTGAAACCACGGATCCTACCAAGCTTTCTATGTACTGTGTTTTTTCCTATGCGTACATACCCATGATAAAGTTTAACTTATAAATTAGGTGCAATAAGAGGTTAACAATAACTAACCATAAAATAGAACAGTTACAACAATACAGTAAAATAAAAGTTACGCGAATGTGGTCTCTCTCTCTCAGAATACCTTACTCTCCTTACTCACCCTTCTTTCTGTGGTAATACGGGGTGGGGTAAAACGGCTCTGTGAAGAGATGAAGTGAGGTGAACAACGTAGGCATTGTGATGTGGTGTGAGGCTCCTATTAAACTTCTGAGGATACGTCAGAAGGAGGATCATCTGCCTTCAGACCACAGGTGACAGCAGGTAACTGAAACAACAGAAAGTGAAACCAGGAATAAACGGGACTACTGTATATGCCTTTAATGTCCTTGAATATTACTTCATCTCACGTTTAGCCAGATGGTCTTCCTTTACCTTATAATTCCTTTGCAACCAAAGGTTCATTTGTCATTGTAGGATATGGTAGGCCAGGTAGAAGACAATCCCCAGCATTTATGAGTAATATACTCTCCCTCAAACTTCACATTTATCTATAAGCGTGAATTTACTGTGAATTATTCTAGACCCCAGTGGGCATAACTTGGATATCTGCTCTACTCATCTGTGATCACAAGACACTTTCTTTAGTAATCTGGAATTCTGTTTCTCCTGATTATAAACACATGTGCATGCGTGTGCCCACACATGCACACCACACAGGTATACACCACACAACATAGGAAGAGTGTTTTTATGGCACTGAAGTACAATTTACCCATATTAAGTCAACTTCAGGTATCGGTTTTTTAAGTTTTTATTTCAATTCTAACATCCAGCGTAATATGAGTTTCAGGAGTACAGTATAATGAATCATCCCTTCCGTACAGCACCCTGTGCTCATCACAAGTGCCCCCCTTAACTACCTTCACCTGCTTCACCCATCCCCCACCCACCTCCCCTCAGGTCACCATCAGTTTGTTCTCTACAGTTAAGAGTCTGTTTCTTGGTTTGTTTCCCTCTCTCTCTTTTTCCACGCTACTCATTTGTTTTGTTTCTTAAATTTCACATTTGAGTGAAATCATATGGTATTTGTCTTTCTCTGATTGACTCATTTCACTTAGCATTGTACTCTCTAGCTCCATCCACATCATTGTAAATGGCAAGATTTCATTATTTTTATAGCTGATTAATAATTCCATTGTGTATATATACCACATCTTCTTTATCCATTCATCAGTCAATGGACACTTGGACCACTTCCATGACTTGGTTGCAGTGAACTGTAGGGGTGCATGTATTCCTTTGAATTACTGTTTTTGTATTCCTTGGGTAAATAGTAGTGGGATTACTGGATCATAGTATGGTTTTATTTTTAACTTTTTGAGGAACCTCCGTACTGTTTTCCACAGTGGCTACGCCAGTTTGCATTCCCACCCACAGTGCACAAGGACACCTTCTCCACATCCTCGCCAACACCTGTTGTTTCTAGCATTGTCGATTTTAGCCAGTCTGACAACGTTGAGGCATTGTAGTTTTGATTTGCATTTCCCTGATGACACGTGATGTTGAGCATCTTTTCATGTGTCTGTTGGCCATCTGGATGCCTTTGGAGAAACGTCTGTTCGTGTTGGAGACCAGACTCTAAGCTGGCATTCAGGGCCTTCCACACGCTGATCTCACTCTCTCTTTCTAGCTGTATCTTCCATAACTCCCATGACAAACCTGTTACCGTCTCAGTATATACTGACAGCCAAATGCTTTATATATAATGCCTTATGTCATTCTTACAATCGTTCTGTGATTGCATTATTATCACCCCCGTTTTACAGATGAGGTTTAGAACCAGGTATTTAATATCTTCTTTAGGAGCACACAGCCAGTTATGGACAGAGCCGGATTCAAACCCAGTTTGACTCCAAAACCAGTTTTCTTAACTTCCTTTCTAGCCAAACAGATCTCTCTGTTCACCATCACTGTAACACATATCCAATTACACGTCCATGATTTTTTTTAAAGATTTATTTATTTGCGAGAGAGAGGGAGAGAATCTCAAGCAGACTCCCTGCTGAGCACAGAGCCTGACGTGGGGCTTGATCTCACCACCCTGAGATCATGACCTGAGCTGAAATCAAGAGTCAGACTCTTAACTGAGCCACCCAGGCACCCCTGCACTCCCATACTTTTAATCAGATTGTTTATTCTAACTCAGAAACCGTACCCTACCTGTCCTTCAAAGTTTACCTCAGACTTTTAACACTTCTGTGAAATCTTTCAACCACCAGCCTACAGTGATATCACCTTCCTCCAGCATCTGAATTTTTATATTTAACTGTATATGGTTTTAGATTGTCATTTAGTTTATTAGGTTCACGGTGTTGTCTTCCCAACCACATAATTGGTTGCTTGATGGCAGAAACCATGGAAGCCAGGTTAGCTACGCATATAATCTCTAAGATTCTGTTCTTTGGTTTATGTTTCTATCACCTGTAGTCCTATGTCCCTGGTAAATGCTCAAAAATGGACTCAGTGTTAAACTAGTAACTTTTCATAGAAGACTCTCTCCTCCTACCATTAGAGGAAGATAGTTCACAGGTCTGTGATTTGAAATGAAACCCTCTAAATTTTGAATCGACAACTTCTCTGGAGGCTATTGTGTAATAGATATCATATAAGATTATGTAATACTTGAATGAATATTCAGATTAATATTTTTAAAAGAAAAATCGTAGTAAGTCGTCTTTGTGACTTTAAATAGTTTGAATGGACAGAGGATAATTTTCCTGTTTCATCCTGTCCCTGAGCCTTCATGGGCCTTTTCTGAATAAAAGACAATGTGGTTTTACTTCTATTTAACACAAATTGTAAAACCTCCTCTCTCACGTGCCCTTTCAGAACCCTGAGAAAGAACCTTAGCAAAGAGGGAAGGTGGGGAAAACCATGCCCAAAAATATGAGTCTTGGATCTGTTTCCTAAAACCAGGAGGTGGCAGAGACTCATGGAGGAGAGAGGTTTTATTCCTTGGTTGAAGGTCATTGAAAGGGGTAATGCAGGTATGCTTGGTGAGGCTGTGAGTGAATTTGAGGTCAGGGTCAAAAGAAAATGGTTATGGCAGCCTACTTGAATGTCTTCGTGAGAATTTGAACTTACCCCTCCCTTCCTTCCTGGCATAATGTCCCCACTCCCCCTTCTCTGCCTCCTTTTCAGCATCTGAGTTTTTATTCATTCTAATGTAGAGTTCAGAGGGAACTACGTGAATCTGTGCCATTGATTGGTTTTGTTGTTTGCTTAAAGATTGATTTGGAAATCTCCATAATCCATTCCGCCTTAATTTACACTTTGCAGTGCTATGGTACGTTTAGAAGGACTGATTAGTAACAGACTTAATCTCTCACAAGAAATAACAAGACATATATTTGTAAGATAATTACATTTCAAGTGATCAAGAAAGACTGTAGGTGTGAAAAGAGTTTCAGTAATAGGCATACCTTGGGGGAAGTCAAAGGATTTTTACTTAAATATCTTAAAGGCTAAATCAGAATTCATTGAACAACAGTAGCTCACAAAAAAGCTTTTAAAGTGAGAATTATAGGAGAGCATTTCATTTATCAGAAGATGGAATGCCTGAGCATTTAGTGAAAAGAACTTTTTGAAAGGAAAGCTGTTTGTTGTTTGAGGCTTTTGGGGGGTATTTGTTTTGTTGTTGTTGTTGTTTTACTTTTTCATTGTTTTTCGATGGATCTCTTCCATTCAGGAAAATTTGGTGGATTTACACAAGAAAATAACACCATAGATTCTGGAGAACTTGATATTGGCCGAAGAGCAATTCAAGAGGTTCCTCCTGGGATCTTCTGGAGATCACAGCTTTTTATTGATCAGCCACAGTTTCTTAAATTCAATATCTCTCTTCAGAAGGATGCATTGATTGGAGTATATGGCCGAAAAGGCTTACCACCTTCCCATACTCAGGTAAAAGTAGGCTTTGTTGTCAATAAAATGGGAAACTGCTAGTTTGCATTTTTAAAGTTATTCTGTTTCTTAAGTTCAGCTGTTTAACTGTTGGACCACTTTTGTATTGATCTTTTACAGTGAAAAGAATTTTGAATGTAGGTTACACTTGAGGTTTTCGGATTAGTAGGAAGAACGGCATTTTCTTCCTGACTTGCGTTAATCATTATTGATGGATTAAAATGTACTAAAATTTGTGAATAACTAAATGAATATCGAACATCATCTGAACACCTAGGAAAACATCATGGATTTTCCAAGTGTTTTACAAAGATTCTAGGAGGATTTCAGAGGATCTTATTCCTTTCATGTATTAGATGCACAGTATTTTCATCTCAAACATTGTATTCATGGAGTTGAAAATATATTGTATTTTTTCTGCTTAATGCCAGACTTACTGTTAGTAAAGAAATTATGAGAACATAAACATAAAGAGGATGACATGAACTTTGATCAACTCAAGCCACAATTCCTCAAAGAGGCAAGAGAACTTTCATATATAACCGAGGGTGATCATCTAAGTGTGGTCCTCAAAACAATTCAAAGACCCTTCAGTCATGCATTCAAGGAACTTTAAAATCAATCCGCTTGCGTGAAAATTAGGTCACAGTAACAGTCACAGAGAACTACTATCAGTAATTCTATAGGCGTTTTCGTAATCTAATACCGGATCAGGGTATGTAAGTTGGAAATTGTGGTTTAAAAGAGGTCCCATTGTTGGGGCATCTGGGTGGCTTAGTCGGTTGGGCATCTGCCTTCCACTCGGGTCAGGATCTCAAGGTCCTGGGATCGGGCCCCATGTTGGGCTCCCTGCTTAGCGGGGAATCTGCTTCTCCCTCTCCCTCTGCCTTTCCCTCACCATGCTTCAGCTCTCTCTCTCTCTCAAAAAAATAAATAAAATCTTAAAAATAAAAAATAAAAGAGGTCCCATTATGTCTAAGAGAAATTATTTAAATTACCTACTATAAATTTGGAGCCCGGACTTTCCTAGGGTCAACTATTATGTTAGTCAACACAGGAATTCCAAAAATGTAATAGATGGTTAATTAACATTGACAGTTGGATGAGCCTAAAGTTATACTTGATAACCAGTTTATGTACCCATAGAATTTCATGCAGATTTTAATTTGATTTATGAGTTGAGGACTGGAGGATTTTCATGTATGCTTTAGAGTATGTAATTTTGTGAGAAATGCTTTTTCTATAACCTAGGAATATAAGTTAGGAAGAAAAATTGATCATATACCAATAAAAGAATCATATCTTCAAAGAAAGAGGAGTAAGAAATTTTGAACATGCTTTCTCTTATGTCACTGTAGATCAGGGAAAGTTTTGTATACATATATAAATTGTATAGCTGTGAAATTTTTGAATATCAGGCTTTGGTGCATTCATTTTTCTGATAACGTTTTTTCATATCTACATTATTAAAGTAAATGCCTTTGGTCCTTGCACATTAAATACTCCCCATTGTGGGGCCACCTGCATGGCTCAGTTGGTTAAGCATCTGCCTTCTGCTCAGGTCATGCATGATCCCAGGGTCCTAGGATGGAGTCCCGCATCGGGCTCCTTACTCAGCAGGAAGCCTGCTTCTCCCTCTGCCTGCCACTCCCCCTGCTTGTGTTCTCTCTCTCTCTCCCTCCCTGTCAAATAAATAAAAAAATCTTAAAAAAAATAAAGACTCCCCATTGTGTACTAGTGTCCAATTTAAATTTTTGATTACAATTCTGTTTGACACCAGTTTATGCTGTAGGTGACACAGAGTACGATATAATAACCAGATTGACTTAAATGGAAGTGTGGATCTCTCTAACTTCACTGAAAGCAGAGAGATTGCATTTATATCAATAGTCTGGTGAAATAGAAAAAAAATTTTTTTCATTGGAACTATATACATGTTTAAATCACTATTTTTGTAACTGAAGAAATATACCTCCAAAGCTAATAAGCACAACAGTGCACATAGAACCTATAAATTCCAGAAAATAATTTCAAAGAAAATTGTTGTGTACTTTAAAGATTTATTTAAAGATTTAGGGTTGACTCTTTTCCAAGTTATATATACCATATGAGATTAGGGAAATAAAAAGTGCAGTTTCAGGTTTTCCCATAATTCTTCTGGTATTTAAATACAATATACATAATATCCACTTTTCCTTTCTACCACAATATATGTGTTTAACCAGATTACGCATTTTCTGAAGCTCCACAGTTATTAGAGTTCCTTCCTCTAGTTTATTCAAGATCAGCAGAGCAAACAACTATTTCTGAGTTCAGTGTTTAAACATGAAATATGCTATAAAGCAGCCCAAATTGAACATTTCTCTGTTTCTGGGGAACATTAAATAAATCAACCTGAAATAATTAAAATTGGCCAACCATTCAGAATAGTCACTTGAGTTTTAAAAGTCTTTGTGACCCTTTATAAAACTGTCCGTTTGATTGTTGCCAAGGAATCAATTGACTTTTTTCTCCCTGATGCCCAACTCATTCTCCTGGACATTTAGAAGCCTAAAGAAGCAATTTAACGCTTCTCATTTAAGTACATTTTAATTTAACACTGTATCATTTAAGTACGTTTGCATGAAGGCTGTTTCAGAATGGTAGCTGGAGACCTGTGTTCTGGAAGCATACACCCCTACCACTCTTTGACCTTGTGACCTTGAAAAATCACTTCTCTGCGCCTCTTTCTGTCCAGAAAATGAAACCGTTGGATCAGATGATGTCTAAAATCTCTTCCTCCTCTATGTGCCAATGATTTACAGCAAGACCGTGCCACCACCAAAAAGCTGATTTAAAAATACAGTTAATGGGACACCTGGGTGGCTCAGTCAGTTAAGCATCTGCCTTCAGCTCAGGTCATGATCTCAGGGTCCTGAGATTGGGTCCCTCATTGGGCTCCCCGCTCAGTGGGGAGTCTGCTCTTTGCTCTGCCCCTCCCCCTGCTTGTACTGTCTCTCTCTCTCTCAAATAAATAAATATTTAAAAGGAAATACAGTTAAGTATTCATAGATTCTGAGTTCTCATCCTTTTCTTTAAAGATTTTATTTATTTATTTATTTATTTGAGAGAGAAAGAGAGCAAGCACAAGTGGGGGCCAGAAGGGGAAGGAGAAGTAGGCTCCCTGTTGAGCAGGGAGCCCAATGCAGGGCCTGATTCCAGAACCCTGAAATCATGACCTGAGCCACCCAGGTGCCCTAGTTCTCATCGTTTTAATAACTGAATTGAGTTGAGCATTTGGATAATCTAACTGCTCAGAAATGACCCAGTAGGATAGCTTTATCAAGTCTAACCTTGTTTCATGATCACTTCCCCGAAGTGGTGAGACTGAATAAGATCCTAAGACTTGCCCCCACAAAAAAAAAAAAAAAAAAAAAAAAAAAAATCCATGTCTCCATCTTATGAATAGGTATTACAGAGTTAAGCCAGTAGCCCAAGTTTGTTCATAAGTGATTGCTTTTTACTTTACACCCTCAGAACAACAGTTACTAAATATTTTTGTTCCATGTAATTTGTTTACTTTTTGTAGACATAGGCTTAGTGTTAAGTAGAGGACTTGTCTTTAGGTATTTGAATAACCCTCCTGAAGGCATGTGTGAAATGCCCCTACGGAAGAGCCTAGACAGATTCTCAGCAACTGTGGCCTCCCCCCCCCCCCCCCCCCCCCCCCCCCCCCCCCAGCAACTCCAGCCTCACTTTATTGTTCAGGGTGTGATGCAAATGGTGATTCCTACGAATGAAGGTGGTTGACTATGAGTATGAGCTTGAAAGACCAGTTAAAACTCAAAATTTCCTCCCTTTCAGTCTTTCAGCTACTGAGTTTAATGTCAGAGGAGAAAAATGCTTATATGCAAAGGAGCCATAAAAAGAAACTTTTCCCTGCCTCTTTGCCAAGCTAATATAAATATTTAAATCTGATGAGAAAACGAATGGCTTATTTGAGATACAGACACCTTTAGAAAGTGCTGCATTCATTTTCCTCTGATAATTTTGGAATACAATTCCAGTGAAAAATTTGCAGGTTAAATATCCATGCCAGTGATTATTTTCATACTTGTAAGATAAAAATGAAAAAAAGTTACTGAATGCTAACCAACTTATGGCTTTTTGTGTGTATTCCTCACAGCTGCGTGATGTCATGAGGTAGTTTTACTACACACAAAAAAAATAAAAAATGCTTTTACATTTAAATAAAAATTTTAATATGTTGGAAACTGAATTAGATATTCTAAATTCTGTCCAGTAGTAATGTTAGAGTTCTGTGATCAGTACAGTGGCGACACATTTAATCATGAATCTTGGAATCCCAACGGCTGATTTTATTCCAATTTAGCTGTATTAAGGGATTCATATAATAAACTTCTCTTCAAACAGAGCTCTGATGAAATTCCATTTCTGAAATCTATCAGAAAGTAGAATATTGGTAATTCACATAGCTAGTGCTGTAAAATTATATATATTGCACTGTGGTGTATTTTTCACCCTCAGGAATAAAGTGAAACTGGGTAAGAGTCTAAAGCAACTGAATCACTCAGGGATTTAAAACTCAAACAAAAGTTTAATGAACTTTTATCCAAGTTTATTAAAACCATGTTGGAAAGTCTGCAGTGTCTTCCAAACTCACTGCGTTATCTCTGGTTACAGAACTACTCTTACCAGTCACCCTTCGTATTTTTAATTATCTAATTATCTTTAAATGCTCCAGTTCTTCTAGCTACCCAATGTTCATGATTAATCTTACTAAATCAAAACTTGAGCTTAACGACGTTGACTTCATAATAATAATTGGGCATAGCTACTGTTGCTGTCATCCCTTCAGAACCCGTCCATTGTTGAATTTTTTGGACTTTCAGTCAGAGATGTACCCCCGTCTTGATACCGGTTTTTAGTTTCACCATAACTGAGGACAAAGCCATGGGTTTCTCCATGGTGCCTGGGATGGTAACATCAGGGTCACAGGGAGGAGCATGGTGGGTGGTTGGAAAGACCTGAGCTTTCTCACAAACCGACTCCACTGCTTATGAGGTATCGAACCCTCCTCAAGCTCCTCAAGGGTTGGTTTCTTCCATCTTTGCTGTGGAAATATCCACACCATCCTAGAAGGGTGGCCACAAGGATTCAGTATGATCCTGACACAGAGTATTTATCAGTGATAGTTGTTACCACACAGGGATTAAGTAGGAGATGACCCGAAGAGATGATCTCCTGGTCTAGGGTTAGGTTGCCATGTTTGAAATGTTACAGGCTCGTGGTTGTATCCACACATGGCCTTGCACTCATCAAACTCTTTATCAGTTGCAAGGCTTAGCTCTAACTCTGGAAACCGACTTTGTTTGTATCAGAGCAGAGGGGAGACGTTGAAACAATAAATAAATAAACAAACAAATGAATGAATGAATGAATGAATGAATAAAGCGAGAAGCAGCTACAACCGAAATGTGGCTGAGCACTAAACATCTGTACTTGTCCTGCCCCTCAGTATGACTTTGTCGAGCTCCTGGATGGCAGCAGGTTGATTGCAAGAGAGCCGCGGAACCTGCTGGAGCCCGAGAGAGCAGGGCGGCAGGCGAGGTCCGTCAGTCTGCACGAGGCTGGCTTTATCCAGTACCTGGATTCTGGAATCTGGCATCTGGCTTTTTACAATGACGGGAAAAATGCGGAGCAGGTGTCCTTTAATACCATCGTCATAGGTAAGAACGGTCTTCAAAAGCATCTTTTTCCCGGGCTGCAGCCTAAACGGTGTGTTGAATGGAAGCTCGGTTGTCTTCGCCGATTTGGAGTGATTCCGAGGGTGATAAAGCCTGAGGTAAAACGTGAGACATATTTTTTAAATCGTTTATTTATGCGTATGTGACATACCGTGAAGCATTGGGAGAACCTGTTCTTTGCAAGTATCTTGCAGGACGGTGCATCTTGAAAACACTTAAAAACATCTGCATTTGAGATGGCAGTGCTTTGCTTTTTACTACTCGAGTAATCTGGTGCAAATGAATCTTTTTTTTTTTTTTTTTTTTTTTTGGTGATGGAGCGGGCCATCCATCACTCCTTCCGTGGGGAGCCAAAACGATCAAAGTGACACAGTTTACCTTGTGCGAGAAGCAGACTGGACCATTAAGTGTTCCTTCTCTCTCTTTTCTTCAGAGTCTGTGGTGGAATGCCCCCGAAATTGCCATGGAAATGGAGAGTGTGTTTCTGGAACTTGCCATTGTTTTCCGGGATTTTTAGGTCCGGATTGTTCCAGAGGTATGCGAGTTAGAGCCTTTTCTTAAGCCAGTATAAATAAGCCGTAGAAACACGAGTAATGCCGAAAACCAGCCAGACAAGAAAGGAAAAGGGAGAAAACTGGCAAACTCCCTGTTCCAGCGACGCATCGCCTTGCTCTGGGGCTCTCGCCTGAGAACGTGGCCGTTAATCCCTCTGTCGTGTTTTATTTCACAGCAGCCTGTCCCGTGTTGTGTAGCGGCAACGGGCAGTACTCCAAGGGCCGCTGTCTCTGCTTCAGCGGCTGGAAGGGCACGGAGTGCGACGTGCCCACCACGCAGTGCATTGACCCGCAGTGCGGGGGGCGTGGGATCTGCATCATGGGCTCTTGCGCTTGCAACTCGGGATACAAAGGAGAAAATTGTGAAGAAGGTAAACTGTGCCCGTATCTGCCGAAGTCTGTGCTTCTCTTCAGAGAGTATCTCTGTAATCTTCACTTTGGCGGCTGCATCTTTTCTTGTGCCTCCTCGTGAAAGTAACTTTGATTTCCATACTTAGATGCATCATTTTGTTAACATTTCGACTAATAAAAAACACAAATGCCAGAGAGCCCCTTGGCTTTCGGTCCTGTGAGTCTTTTTTTTGTTTTGTTTTTTTTCCACTCTGAGGAAGGAAGCAAACGTTTGTGTCTTGAAACCAACAGTGGACTGTTGTTTCGTTTTGTTTTGTTATCTTTGCTTTTTTGGGTTTGTTTTGTTTGGGGTTTTTTGTTGTTGTTTTGTTTTGGGTTTTTTTTTTTTTTTTTTTTTTTTTACAGTTTTTCACATTGATGCCAGCTTGTAAGTCTAGTATTTGGGCATCTCTAGAAAGATGTACTATATATTACGTAATATACTAGTGGAAAAAAGTAGGCCATGGGCTTGTTCCATAACTGTATGTAGTGGTGATAGTCAAGATGTTATACTGTAAAGTACAGTTGAATTGTTTTTTCCAAAAGCAGAAAAACATCATTTCCGTTCTTCAGTCAAATTGACTTTATTGATCTGCACACAGAAAGTAATGCAATTAAGTCTCTGGAATTAAATTTTCAGGCCATTGACCCTACAAGTGTAAAATTTTATTGAGTCAAATTGCTAAGTTAAATCTCGTCATCTAAAGCACATTAAAGTGAATTAAGAAGGTTAGAGAGTATGCAACTCATTTATTTCTCAAACAGTTTGAGAGTCCCATACAGCTGTCAGGATTCAGCGGTTGTGGATTAGGTCATCTGATACAATTTTGTTACAGAGAAGTCAATACTTATTACTATCTGATTAAGCAGAACAGAGAGCAATAGTCTGAAATCTCAGGAGCTTGTATGTGTGCAATTCGCGAAAATTCCAAATCCTTTTAAGAGTCACCATTACCTAAATGGCATGATCCTTAATGCCGTATTGTATGATTCTTTGCGTTTCCAGAAACAAGTTCTTGAAAATGGTAGGTAAATAATTGAGTCTCCAGAATTTTCATATACATTGGACTGGGATTTAATTCTTTATCCTGCATGCACTGTGTATGTGTGACATCTTCTAGATTTAATTGTGAAATTGTTCTCTCTTCTCTCTACTCCAGCCGACTGTCTGGACCCCGGATGTTCCAATCACGGTGTTTGTATCCACGGGGAATGTCACTGCAGTCCAGGGTGGGGTGGTAGCAATTGTGAACTAGTGAAGACCATGTGTCCAGACCAGTGTTCTGGTCATGGAACGTATCTTCAGGAGAGCGGGTCCTGCACTTGTGACCCTAACTGGACTGGCCCAGACTGCTCAAATGGTAAGGTGCATAAGTGCAGGGAGATTGCGTGCTTAATATTGTGTAGCTAAAGATTAAGATACTTTAATTTTAAAAACACACTTATTAAACTTAATACAGATTTTATTAAAGTTATGATTTATAGAAATAAATGTTAAAAGTAATGAAATTCCGTTGCCTTGTAAGAAGGAACAGGCTAGGTCAATTTGTCATTAAAATTTCTCCTGTAGTAGCATGGTAAAGAATAATATTTCATTTGTGCAGAACACTCCATCTTCCTAACTCTCAAGGCCTGTGTAGAGCTTGGGGATTGAAAAATGCACATTATCTCATAACAGAGAAGCCTCAATTAAAAAAGTATTTGCCACCATAAGGCTAAATGGGATCACAATAGAGTATACATATATAGATATTATGATATGCAAAACGGTCTGACACTGATTTTTTTTTAATTATGATAGTATGATTGTAATAAAAATGGCAGGTAGTAATTTTTTTTTTCAATCAGTCAGTTCATTATTGAGCAGCCGGCTCTGTGCATGGATGAGCCCTGTAAGAATAAAGAATAATGAATCATTCTTACCCTCTAGGATAGCGGCTTTCAAATTTTTGCTTTCAGATTTTTGACCGTGACCCACAGCCTCAAATAGTTTTACCTTGTGACCTACGGTGCGTACACATACACTCACGTAACTGAAACAAAGCTTTACAAAGTGGTACACACTGATACTTTCTTCCAAGTATATTCTATATTTTTTTTAATGCTGGTTATATCCCATGAATTAACTCCATGACCACATTAGTCCCACAGTGTGGAAAGGTGCTGTTCTAATCTAGAAGATGACAGTTTAATTGGGGAGATGAGATTGAACACACATGAAATACTTAGAAACCAACACATCCCATTTTAATCTTTTATTGCATATTACATGGAATAATATGTAAATACAATCAACATTCAGAGGAGTGCTCCTGCATTAATGCACACTGGAAGTTTTCAAGGAGATTTTGATTCACGTGCGTTGCCTTCTTTTAGAGATGGCAGTTAGTGTGGGGATGGGAGGTATTTTCTGACTCAGGGAACAGTATGAGAAAGTACTTCAGAGCATAGACCCTGAGATCAGATGCTTGGGTTCATATCCAACCTCTACTCCTTAACAGCTGTGTAAACTTAGGCAGACTACTGTATGTTTTAGTTTACCCATCTGTTAAATGGATTTAATCAAGACATTCTTTACAGAGATGCCTTGGGAATTTTTTGAATTAATGTATATCAAGTACTTAGTACAACGCTTAGTCCAGAATAAATTCCAAATATACCTGCCACCTCCACCGCTACGATTTTACTGCTACGACAACTACCTTCGACAAGGATACAACTGTGAGAATAGCGTTCTCCATATGGGAGAAGAAAGGAAAGGTATTTGGAGGCAAAGGTTGGGTTGCACCCAGTTCTGAGGGACGCAGCTTAGCAATGATGGTTCAGACAACGGAGAATCCACTCGTCATGACGATGTGTGCCCATCAGTGTGATGAGAGCAGTATGTGCGAACTCCCCAATTGATTCTGTGTCAGAGAGGGTGGCTAGTCGGAATTTGACGGCTGGGAGGCAAGTTTGAGAGCTTTCCCAGAGTGGGAAGGGCTGAGAGTGTGAATTCCTTTGGAGTTCGTAGACATGAAAAGGATAAATCTGAGGGCCATTTTAAAGGAGAACTAGACAGAGCCTGCTGAAGAGACGGCACAGGAGTTGGTGCAAAGAGCTGAATGTCTGCAACCAGGGTGGGATGGGGCAGTGGCCGTGGCTCTGGAGAAGGCAGGGAAGCTGGGAAGGGGTGAGCGGCGAGGCAGGATGCAGGGCCTGAGATGCGGAGGCGCGGATGCCTTCTGTATGGGAAAGTGGAGGAGGAGGGGGAACGGAGGAGGGGGGGGGGGGAAGGAGAAGGCAAAAGCGTAGGTCTTGTTAACGCTGTTGAGGAAATAGAAACATCTGCGTAAGCCTTGGCTTCAGGGAAGAGGGCTGTCTCTCCTTCATCCCATTGACACTGATGGCCTTCTTCCCTGAAGCCCTGTTTGCAACTGAGTGGCGAAGAGCAGGAAATCTGGAGCCTGGGTTCAGGTCTCGGGTTGGCCATTCCCTAGGTCTGTGGCGTCCAATCGGCTATTTAAAATGCTTCCCTGTGCCTCAGTTTCTTCCCCTGTAACCTGGGGACGACAATAGTACTACCTTATACAATCGTTATAAGGATGGAAATGAGTTAATGTGTGAAAAGCACTTAGAATAGTGCCTTATACATGGCAAGCACTTGGTAAGTATTATCCATCAATAGTGATGGTGATGGTAGTCGGAGTTAGGGTGGTAGAATCCTAAAGGCGAATTTGGCCCTTACAGTTTGTCATCTTAATTCTCCATTGATTCAGAGGAGTACTTCCACATGAAAGTACTGCTTGGTTACGGTTCCTCCAATTGTGAAATTTATGAAATGCAAATTATTTCATCTATTAGTATAGCCTAATGGCATTAACCCGAGAGAAATCCCGCCAAGCAGTGAATTAACACGCTTATTTTAAGAAGAAAAAAAAAAAAAAAGACTAGTAATTTTTACAAATCACTCTTGCCTGGCACTTTGAGAAACTTGGATGACATGACTGCTACCCCGTGAATCATCACCAGCATGACAGATTTGTGTGCCGTTCTTCACCGGCGACAGACTCCCTTCCTTCCTCCCTAACTTCCTCCCTCTGCTTCCTCCCTCCTCTGTCTCCCTCTCTTCCTCCCTCATCCCCTGCCCCCTCCCTCAGCCCCTCCCTCCTTCCCTGCCTTCCTTCCCTTTCCTCTACTTCCCTCATCTTTTGGCCATACATTTTTGGAGGCAGACAGGCTTATGTTTGTTCCTGCTTCATAGAAACACGAGTTGATTCACATAGTTAGGAGAACTAGAAACCGGTTAGGAAATTCATGACCCCTAGAGCAAATAACATGTACAGGACAACTGGGAGTGAAAACAAAACCTGAGCGAGCGGTGGGATTATAGAGGACCTTGAATGCCCCACCAAAGAGTTGTTGGAAATCATCACCACCCAACGTTACCAAGCACAGGTGCAAGGCATTATTTAAATAACACATTAACTTGTTTTGTCCTCTGTTCTTAAAAATGTATTTTATAATCACAAGCATCAGAATAGGCATTTAATTATTTCTGTTGAGTTTTTATTTCCCTTTCTGGCTTCTGTACTAAAAAATACATCCCACCAAAAAAATCCACTTAGAGTTTATGGATATAATTATTTTTATAGTAAAGCTCTTGGGTTCAGGTCTCTTATGCCTTCATCAGTAAAATAAGCATAATAATACTAGCTGTAAAATAATACTGGTTTGAAATATTGCCATTCTAATTTGTCTCCCACAGTTATTGGAGTAGGAAAGAAATAATGAAACAGCCCTTTTTGTTTCATATAACATTATTTAATGTATTTAATACATTACCTGAATTATTTTATAAAGGATATTTTTGTAATTGATACTGTAGCTCAAAAGATAAGTCAGCCTTGGGCCACCTGGCTGGCTCAGTCAATACAGCATGCAACTCTTGATCTCGGGGTTGTGAGTTCAAGCCCTCCAATGGATATTACTTAAAAAAAATTTTAAAAATAAAATAAAATTTAAAAAGATAATTCAGTCTTCTTCATAAAATGATATTGCCATGAATGGCAAAAAAAAAAAGGTATAGATGTTAAATAAAAAATTAAACTGGCTGCCAAAATCACCTATCATTATTTTACATAGTTAGACTGATTATTTTTCATGCCGATATAATTATTTTGCCAGCTGAAAATCTAATTTTACATGTAAACAAAATGACACTTAGACATAGTGGGCAAAGATCTTCCTACTATTCATCTTTACACCCCCAATGCAAAGCAGAAAAACATATATTAAACTCTCAATATATAGAGTTGAATAATGAATACAGTACTCTTCTTGGAAGAAACTAAGCACAGGGAAAAAAAGACCTTATTAAATTTTGCTAGGAGCTGCAAAAAGACAGAAAACTTACTTAGAATTATTAATAAAGATATCAAATATGCATATATTCACCCTGTGAAAATATCCTGGTTCATGTGCCTGAAGTTTATCTGCATGTCTCACAGCTGTCATTTGAAGTTTACAAAAACACAGTTGGTGACTTATGTTTGTGACTAGAAAGTTTACTAGCAGCATTATTGGGAATTTCTACCTAACTGAATCCCAAAGCAAAACACTGTACCAGCTGCCTCTTTTGTTGTTGTAAAAATGACCTTCAGATAACTAAATTCAGTAAGAGTAGATTCTACACCTGCAGAAACATTTGGTTAAACTGCCAAAAGAGAAGAAATGAATTATTTCCATCAGAAAGTTCATAGGTTTGAAAGCAACAGAGCTTTCCTCTATCTTCATCAGCAGTTTGTCCATTAATTAGCCCTTCAATTCCACTTCAATTAAATTAACTCTAATTAATAAGTTCATTACAAAGATTGACGCACCTTGCTCAAAGCTAGTGTGCTAAACGCTGATAAACACCTTCACCCTAATGAAAAATTGATTAGATTGAATAAAAGGGGTACCTGAGAAAGAAACCTCTCTCTTCTGGAGCTGAGTTGACGTTCTGTTCGTCTGAAGTTAATCACCATCTTGGATCTCTTAATCAAAAATTTAATTCAAACGAGATGGAAAATGTGGCATGAAAAAACATCTACCACTCTCTTCCAGTTAATAGTCCGGGCTGTTGTTTATAAGAAATGTTACAACTCTCACAATGCCTTGATTTGGGGTTTAAAATTCTGCAGGACTGAGGGGCAGAAGGAAGGTACCTGAGAAATGTTACCTGGGCAGTGAGTAGGGAAAACAGGAGCATGGGACTACATAAACAGTTACTGTTTTTTCATGTAAAAACAAGGCTGCAGTCCATTTTCTGTTTGTTAGAAATGCTTTCAGGTTTTTATCGTTCAGCATTATTTTTGCAAGGAAACCGAAACCAAGCAATGGTCTGCAATTGTAGAATAGGGCAGTTGATTTTAACTTTATATGTAAAAAGTAAAATATAAAAATATCCTTCAGAATTCATTTTAAAGATCGAACCTATTAGGGTTTTGAAGTCCTTTGGTCACTTGTGCTTTTAGTCCATTCGAGTACCTGAAAAGCCTACTTTTTCCAATGACAAAGTCAGTAGTTTGGTGTTCTGGTTTTCTACGGTGGTGTGTATCTGTCCACAGTACGAATTTACTGACTAGGAAAAACAATTTCTTTTATTTAACCAGCATGTGTGTGCCTCAGAAGCAAGCCGAAGTGGGTACTACAAAAGATTCTTTTTAATTAAAAATTTCTGAGTAGTTTAGAAATTTAAACATTAGGAGTAGAAATAACCCCTTTGCAATTCTTGCTATGGGGGTTAAATAGTGGACATGCTTAGACACTGAAATATTTTATTAATTTTATATGAACTTGATGTGTGTGTTTGTATGTGTGCATGTGTCCTGGGCTGCCAGAAGATACTCTCAGATACATTACCTGTGTATTTTCCTCTCCTTATGAATCATGCGTTGTTTTGTTAGTCGCCTGTGTGTGTTTACACACACATACATATAACAGAGGGAATAACAAAATTCTCGTGTATTTCATGCACAGTCACAGTGGGCGTTTGAAATTAAATGACTACTGACAAAGTAAACTTTGACCATGTATAATTCTTACAAGTCGATGCTAATAACATGTACTGAGTCTATAAATACTTATTTTTCAAAAAAATGTTATTTTTTTAGACTTGAATGAACTACACTTGATCAACGACTCATTTAACTCCGCCCCCCCCCTCCCCCCCGCTCC